AAATTGATTTATGTAAAAAAAACTCTTTTAAAAAAATTGTCATTTTCGGCCCTTTTTCCAGCACCTAGCCCATATATTTGTTTATTTATTTGTATATTAAAATTATTTATTTAATAGGCTAGACCATTTGACCATTTAACCAATTTGACCAGACCAGTTCGACCAACAAATTTTTGGTCGACCAGTGATTTGACCAACCCTGGTACTATCGAATTTGTTATCGAAAGTAGTAAGGTATAACAGGTATATATGATTATACCAAAAGCTGATTTTCATATTGCATAAATGGATAAAAAGCTACTCCTGATATTTTATACATCCAATGATCGATTTGAATACTTCATCCAACAAGATTCAAGATTTTGTACACAGATAGATGCCTGTAAACCAACTGGCACAAATGGATACGTATCACTTCACCGACACTCAGTTCGTAGAAATAACATTTCACTGACAACAATTCACCGAACTGACAGGTCTATTTCACCAATAATTATTTCACCAAGAAATTTTTTTAAGAAACATAGTTTGACTCAATAGCAAATTTCATATGTAATATAAATTCTACTAACCTTAACTCTGATCCTAACGACAATAACCAAATTATTTTGTCGGCGAAATGGGTTTCAGTGAAATAAACTGTCGGTGAAATGAACTTTTCGGTAAATAAGTGTCGGTGAAATTGTTGTCGATGAAATGTTATGTCTATGAAATGGGTGTCGGTGAAGTGAGCTGAACCGGGCACTAATAAGTAAATCCTTCCCGAGTACTGATCATATGGGTGGATACTATAATAGGAGGGTACTTTGAATTGTATCTAGGTATTTTTCATGGAAGTATTCTAGTAGGGTACTTTAGTCAACGGCGTGGTGTTAGTTGAGACTACCACTCGAATAAGAGATACTTAGAGGTAATGCTAATTAATAAATGACTAAATTAAGTAGGTAATACAGGAACAAATAATAACAGATAAACAACTATGTGACAATACGTACATACTAGAATTGGTGGCAAACTTAATTAAACTGGTGAAACTGGTGACTATCTAAAATCAGATTTTAGATAGTTACCAATTCATCAGCAACTCTAGTACGTACGTACGTACATATAAACGAAGTTCCCTTTAAAATATAGTTAACAAGTTAGCATGACATTAAAGTTAAATAAGCAAGATTGGTTTAAGGTTGCTATTGAACAAGAGTATATTAAATTGTTCGATTATAGTTCTTTTGCAAACCCTAGAATAATTGGTAAAGGAGGATTTGGCAGTATATATATTGCTCATTCAAAGCACTCAGGCAATTTTGTAGCTTTAAAATGTTTACACAATAATATTAGTGATAATGATGACACGATTAATGCATTCATTAGAGAGGTAAGAAGATTTGTCATAATTTATGTAATTTGGAATTTGGACAATTAATCTAATAACTTTATTATTCTATAGGTTAAAACAATTTCTAAGGTTAATTTTCATGATAATATAGTAAGATTGTTTGGAATTACTCAAGGTATGTTGATTGTGCGAATTAATAAACTCTTAAAAATAATTATTTAGAAAATCTTAACCACAATTAGATCCAAAGAATGAAACATATTACATGGTTCTTCAGTTTGCAAACAATGGAAATCTTCGAGATTATTTACAAAAAACTTTCTCTAAATTAGACTGGATAACTAAAGTTAGAATGGCAGAAGATATTACTAAGGGAATTTATTGTTTACATAATGAAGATATTGTTCATCGCGATCTCGTAAGATAGTTCATTTTTATCAACTTTTATTGTATACATACAATACTAACGCGTGACTTTATTGTTTAAAAGCATGATAAAAATGTCATAGTCCATAATGGCAGACTAATTATTACGGACTTTGGATTATCTCAATCACTAGAATTAAATACTAAATCTATTAATGGTGGAACATGCGCTTATTCTGATCCACATTATCTCAAGAGTCCGTTTATATATAAACGAGATAAACCATCTGATATCTATAGTCTTGGTGTACTTTTCTGGCAAATCTCAAGTGGTTTTCCTCCTTTTAAAGACATGACGGATCCTACAGTCAATTCACAAATCTCTCCTTATCCTTCATCAATACCAAAAAACTCTCATACCATCTATGATATTCTCTCTCCTAAC